AAGAGAGTTAGCTCGTTTTGTTGTGTCTTGAGAAACAGCGAATGGGGCAGGGTTTAGGAAAGAATCCACTGGCAAATTTAGGAGGTCAGGTAGGGAAAGTTACTAAAAAGCCTTAGTCATGAGCCACACTGAGGTGATAGTATGCTCCATCCAACTGGGAGCATGGCAGAGGTGTTAAGTCAGATTTGAGGATGTGGCCCAAATTGTTGGTCAGTCTCTGGCCATGTAGGCCAATTGGCCAGAGGTCAGCACCATGGATAGTCCCAAAGGATGGTGACTGTGTGGACTCTGGAGAGAAGTGAAGGGAACCCTGCATATTTGGTGATAGATAAAAGTTTAGTGTTTTTTTAGCTTAGACCCTAAGGCTGTTTTGGTTCTACCCATATTCAAAAACAACATTTATTGAGCACCTATTGTGTGCCAGGCACCCTTACTAGTGCTGGAGAATGACAAAAAAATGAGATGACACTCTCTGCCCTTAAGAAGCTTACTACTTCTTGGATAAACTAGAAATTTTTAAAAATGAAAATAATAATATGGTCCTCTTGAGGGAGGAGGGTGGAAAGAGGGAGAGGACCAGAAAATATAATTGCTGGGTACTTTGCTTAGTACCCAGGTGATGAAATGGTCTGTACATCAGACTCCTGTGACATGAACTTGCCTGTATTAACAAACCTGTACATGTACCACTGAGCCTAAAATAAAAGTTAAAAAAAGAAAAAAAAAGGAAAATAAAATAATAGCTAATATTTATGGAGCAATTACTATATATAAAGCACATAATTCTAATACCTATACATAAATTATTTTATTGAATTCACTCAACAACCTTATGAAGGCGGTATTAGTATTCTTATAGATGATGAAGCTGAGGCACATAGAATTTAAGAAACTTTCTTTGTTACATAGCTTGTTAGAAATAAAGCCAGAATTTAAACTCACATACTTTTACTCCACGTTCATGTTTTTAATTACCACACTATGTTGTCTGCAGGTCCTAACAATAGCAAGTAATAGGTATCGTCTATTACCTGCACCATGCAGTGATACATGCAAAGTATAGGGAACATGGGAAGTGCACTTAAGTCAAACCTGGGGCTGGAAATGGGACAGATTTAGGGACTTCATCCACCAAAGGTGGCGCCTGGCCTGAGGCTTGAGAAAAAGTACATGCATCATGGAGAAGGTATAGCAGAAAGCACGTCATGCTTAATCTGACAGTGCCAGGGCTGTTGGAGGCCTGAGATACTAACTAACTGCCCCCTTCATGCCTCAGATTCTGACTGGTGGATGATGGACTCAAGGAGCTAAACAAGGATCAAAGTGTGACATTTACCTGATTCCTTCCAAAACACAAAACTCCCCTGTGGAAATTTGGAAAACAGTGATAAAATGAGAGATGTGCCATTTTGCCTTTGCATTCCTGTACGTCCATCAAAGAAGGATTGAGATTTTAGTACAGGTTTTGGATATAAGGTCAATATTCAATAAGCAATACCCTTTAGACATGGAAATTCGCAACAAAATATTAGCAAAAATAAATCCAGTAATATGTAAAAAGGATAATACTTCATAAGTAAGAGGAGTTTATTCCTGAAATAAAAGGTGGATTTAACATTTGAAAACTAAACAATGTACTTGGCCATATTAACAGACTGAAGAATAAACACCATATGACCATCTCAGTAGATGAGAAAGCATTTGTCAAAATTTAACATTCTTCATGATACAACTTTCAGCAAGCTAGGATTAGAAGGGAACTTCCTAAAACTCATAAAGAGCATATTTTTAAAAATTTACAGCTAATAGTCTTTTTTTTTTTTTTTTTTTTTNTTTTTTTTTTTTTTTGAGGCAGAGTCTTGATCTATTGCACAGGCTGGAGTGCATTGGTGTGATTGCAGCTCACTGCAACCTTTGCCTCCTGTACTGAAGCAACCCTCCCACCTCAGCCTCCTGAGTAGCTGGGACTACAGATGTGCCACCACACTCAGCTAATTTTTGTATTTCTTGTAGAGATGGAATTTCACATGTTGCCCATCATGGTCTCAAACTCCTGGGCTCAAGCAGTCTGCTATCTCGGTCTCCAAAAGTGCTGGGATTACAGGTGCGAGCCACCACACCTGGCCAATATTCTTAGTTATAAAAAATTGAATACTTTCCCCCTAAGATGAAGAACAAGGCAAGGAAATCTGCTCTCACCACTTCTATATGATATCATACTGGAAATCTTAACCAATGCAAGAAGGCAAGAAAAAGAAACAAAAGGCATACAGATTGGAAAGGAAGAAATTAAATAGTTTCTGTTCCCAGATGACATGGTTGCCTATATAGAAACCCCCAAAAAATCTACAAAAAAAAAAAGCCCTAGAACTAATGTCAGTTTTGCAACTTGTGGGATACAAGGCCAATATACAAAAATCAATTGTATAAATTTTAAACTTTTTTTTATTCAGTGTCTCACTGTCTTACTCAGGCTGGAATGCAGTGGCACAATCATAGCCCACTGTAGCCTCAAACTCCCAGGCTCAAGTGATCCTCTCATCTCAGTCTCCTAAATAGCTAGGACTACAGGCATGCACCACCATGTCTGGCTAACTTTTAAATACTTTGTGGACATGGGGTCTCATTATGTTGCCAGGGCTGGTCTTGAACTTTTGGCTTCAAGTGATCCTCCTGAAGTGTTAGGATAACAGGCTTAGCCACAGTGTTTGTATAAAAAAAATAGAAATCTGAATTAGAGGGCAGCACTATTTTCCACTAAAAATAAAATACTTAGGTAAAAATCTACCAAAGTATGTGTAGAATATTTTATACTGAAACTATTAAACATTGATGAAAGAAGTCAAAAGACCTGCATAAATGGAAAGATACTGTGCTTATGTATTGAAAGACTCAAACTTATTAAGATATATTTTCTTCCCCACATTAGTCTATAAATTCAATACAACCCCAGCCAAAATCATATCAGGTATTTTTGCAGAGATGACAGGCTGATTCTAAAATTTACATGAAAAGGCAAAGGAACTAGAATAGCCAAAACAAATTTGAAAACCAAAGATCAAAACTGGAAAACTCTGATCTGAAGACTTTGTATGAAGCTATAGTAGTCAAGACAGCATGTTACTGGTGAAAGGATAGACATATAGATCAATGGAACAGAAAAGAAAGCCCCAAAATAGAAGCAACACAACTGTGGTCAATTCATTTTAGACAAAGGTGTGAAGGCAATTTAATAGGGAAAAGCTGGTATTTTTAACAATTGGTGCTGTAAAAATTGGGTATCCACTCACCAAAAAAAAGAAAAGTACTTCCACACATACTTCATTTATACCTCATATAAGAACTGACTCAAAGTGGATTCTAGGAGTAAATATAAAACATTATACAGTTATTAGAAGAAAATACAGGAGAAAGTTCTCTTGGGTTAAGTTGAGATTTTAGCTATGGCATCAAACCATGATCCATACAAGAAAATTTAGGTAAAAATCAGAACAGACACTTCACTAAAGAAGTGACTGCATCATTTTATATTTCTACCAGCATTGAATGAGGGTTCCAGTCCATATCCTTGCAAACATTTACTTTTAAAAAAATTATTATATTCATCATAATGGTGTGAAGTAGTATCTCATTGTAGTTTTGATTTGCATTTCCTAACAAATGATGCTGAGTATCTTTTCATTTGCTTATTGGCCATTTGTATAACTTCTTTTGCAAAATGTCAATTCAAATCCCTTGCTTACTTTTTAATTGGATAGCGTTTTTGTTGTTTGGTTTAAGTGTTCATTTTCCATGGTTTTAGTTACTGGTGGTACAGTACAATAAGCTATTTTGAGAGAGAGAGAAACTACATTGATATAACGTTTATTACAGTATATTGTTATAATTGCTGTATTTTGTTATTGTTAATTTCTTACTGTGCCTAATTTATAAATCAAAATTTATCATAGGTATGCATGAATAGGAAAAAAACCGTTTTTTGGGGTTTAGTACTATCTGCAGTTTTAAGCATCCATAAGAATCTTGAAATGAACCCTCCATAGATAAGGGGAGACTACTGTACATCGGTTTATAGATGCAGTCAGCCAGTAGCATAAATAGAAAGCACATATGCTTGACCTCTTATTTGCTTCTTAGTCCCACAATGTTCAACAGGAATCTGCTGTCTATATAAGAAATAAAACCTGTCTTTACCTGGTGACTAGCACAGTTTCAGTGGGTTTAGAAAGACAGCATTTTCCACTTTGCACTACCATTTATGGTCATCCTCCGTGCTCTGAAGTGTCTCATTTCTTTTGGTTATCTGATCAACACAATGATATTATTTTGAACACTGAGTTTCCTGGATACAAAAGGAGAAGCTGTCAGTTTAGATGCACATAGCAGTTTAGACTGATAATTGCAATAGATTCATGTGAATTTGCCAATATTTGGACCTTAATCCCTCTTCCTCAAAAATCAATGGAACTATAATAAAAAGATAGTGGCAAACTGGCCCGCCATTCACAGCTAACATTTCTGAAAGATCACTGTAGAACTATAGCAATGCAGAGGAATTTACATTTTTATAAACCCTTCATAATTAATGCATTATTCCTAGATAGGAGATTACTAATGATTTTTATTCTATTCATTATATTTATGGTACTATTTTGTATTTTTAAAATAATGAACATCTACTTTTTGGTGTTTTTTATTGTGGTAAAATATACTGAAACATCAAATGGAAATATCTAATTATCAAAAACTTTTTTTTCGAGACGGAGTCTCGTTCTGTCACCAGGAGGGATTGCAGTGGCGTGATCTCTGCTCACTGCAACCTCTGCGTCCTGGGTTCAAGCAATTCTTCTGCCTCAGCCTTCTGAGTAGCTGGGACTACAGGTGCGTGCTACCATGTTTAGCTAATTTTTGTATTTTTAGTGCAAACTGGGTTTCACCATGTTAACCAGGATGATCTCTATCTCTTGACCTCATGACCTGCCCACCTTGGTCTCCCAAAGTGCTGGGATTTCAGGTGTGAGCCACCCTGCCCAGCCAACACTTTGATGATGAAAGAATCTTTGCTGAGATTTGCATTATGACAAGTTCATGTAAGGCACAATGGAGTAAATATCCACATGCTCCTGATGATCTACTTTAGTGTTTGTATTTTTAAAAATTGAGTGTGGAGCCTGTACAGGGAGGACCCCACCGCCACCCACTCTCCCTGCCCCTTGGACCCCAGACTGTACCTTATCTCTCTGGCCAGGTGAAGCCCATGAAGTTGACATGCCGGAGATCAGCCTCCGCTATGTTGCATCCTGCTGCAGCCAGGACTCGACCCACTGTGCAGAAAATCTTTGCAAGGCTGACACTTACTGAAAATGGTGGGCAGCCAAGGCAGGTGAGAAGACAATCTCTGTGGTCCTACAGTTGGAGAAGGAGGAGCAGATACACTGTGTGGACATGGGGAATGATTGCTCAGCTTTCGTGGAGGTGCTGGTTGGGTAGCTTGGCTGGAGGTGCTGGGGAGCAAGACTATGAGGTCCTTCTAGTCACCTCATGTTTGATGTCCCCTTTGGAGAGCCGCAGTGGTTCGAACCCCAACCGCGTTCACATGTTTGGGCCTGACAAGCTGGTCCGGGCAGCAGCTGAGAAGCCCTGGGACTGCGTCAAAATTGTTTGCAGCCAGCCCTACAGCAAGGGCTCCCCATTTGGCCTGAGTTTTGAACAGTTTCATAGCCCCCTAGACAAAGATGAGGTAGAGGCCCCATCCCAGAAGGTGACGGTGACCAAGCTCGGCCAATTCCGTGTGAAGGAGGAGGACGAGAACGCCAACTCTCTGAGGCCGGGGGCTCTCTTCTTCAGCCGGGTCAAAAAGACATCCCCAGCCACAGTCAGCAACCTGGCAGGACCCAGCTACGAAGCTGCCACCCTCCAGGTCTCCAGTGCTGCCGCCTCAGCCTCTCCAGTCTCCAGGGCCATAGGCAGCACCTCCAAGCCCCAGGAGTCTCCCAAAGGGAAGAGGAAGTTGGGATTTGAACTGAGAAGAAAAGAAGACCCGCCAGCAAACCAGCACCCCAGCTGTCGCCACCTGTTCCCAAGAGACCTAAATTGCCAGCTTCCACCCATACCCCAGCCACAGCCCCAGTCCCTGCCCCAGCACAGAGGTAGTGACAGGCAAGCCCCAAGGAGAAGGCGCTGAGCCCAGACGACCCTGCACTGGCCCAGAGGAGCTGGGGAAGATCCTTCAGGGTGTGGTAGTGGTGCTGATTGGCTTCCAGAACCCCTTCTGCTCCGAACTGTGAGATAAGGCCCTAGAGCTGGAGGCCAAGTATCAGCCAGACTGGGCCCCGGACAGCATGCACCTCATCTGTGTATTTACCAACACCCCCAAGTACAGCCAGGTCCTAGGCCTCGGAGGCAGCATTGTGTGTAGGGAGTGGGTGCTGGACTGTTACCACAGGCGTCAGCGGCTGCCCTCCCGGAGGTACCTTATGGCAGGGCCAGACCCTAGCAGTGAGGACAATGAGGCCTTTCACAGTGGCAGCAGTGGTGATGAAGCCCCCAAGCATCCTTGAAAGCGCCCCCAGACCAAAACCAAGCCCACTCAGGCAGCTGAACCTAGCTCACCCCAGAAGTCCCCAACCCCGGAAGAGACCAAAGCAGCCTCACCAGTGCCCCAGGAAGACACAGACATTGAGGGGGAACAGTCGCAAGACAGAACAACGGGGTGGAAGATTCTGGGGACACAGAAGATGAGCTGAGGAGAGTGGCCGAGCAGAAGGAACACAGACCGCCCCCTGGCCAGGAGGAGAACGGGGAAGACCCGTATGCAGGCTCCACAGGTGAGAACACAGATGATGAGGAACACCAGGAGCCTCCTGATCTGCCATTCCGCGAGCTCCGAGGTTTCTTCCAGGACAAGCACTTCTTCCTTTACGGGGAGTTCCCTGGAAACAAGTGGCAGAAACTCATCCGATACGTCACAGCCTTCAACCGGGAGTTCCAGGGCTGTATGAGCGACAGGGTTCAGTTTGTGATCATGTACAGGAATGGGATCCCAGCTTTGAGGAGGCCCTGATGGACAACCCCTCCCTGGCATTTGTTCGTCCCCAGTGGATCTACAGTTGCAACGAGCAGCAGAAGTTACTTCCTCACCAGCTCTATGGGGTGGTGCCTCAGGCCTGAAATATGTGCTACACACACACGTACACACACACACACGTACACTCACACACATACCTGAAGTATGTGCTACACAGACAGAGAGAGAGAGGGAGGGAGGGAGGGAGGGAGAGAAGATGCATTTAATAAAGATGACTTGGTTTGGAAAAAATAATTGAGTATGAGACAGTGTTTTCAGTCTCTGCTAAATGTCCTCATGCCCTCTTTCTCTCCCCATTTGGATTATCCGGGATTGCTCACCCAGCCTCAATGGGTGTTATTTTCCTAGTCTGTAAAATGGAACAATCCTTACAAAAAAAGAGCTTTTTTTTTTTTTTTTTTTCCCCCTCTGACTGAGAAAGACCAAATATTTTGTTCAGTTACTTATATGGCTTAACACAGAATTTCATCTGACATTTTGGATTCTGGTCACTACTTTTTCTGATGTTTAATGTTTCCAAATGGTCAGAGCCTTCAGTTTTCCTATACATCTTTCTCATGATGTTCATGACAACTGTGTTATAAAGAGAAGAAGTAAAGACGTGACTTTGATGATATTGGAGCTGTTCATTCAACAAAGATTTGCAGTGACATATCTAGGTTGTGCGTTGGTCCAGTTTGCATAGAGGGAATATCAAGTTCCTAAACGGCAGCTTATCTGTTATGGGCTTGTCCAGTGCCTGGGTTTTTTTCCATTCTTGATTGAGGCTTGAGTATCACCAGACACAGGGCTGGATCAGGCTTGGGAAAGGTGCTTGGGCTACTCTGCTAGAAGGTGATTAAGGGGAGGACGCTATTGACTTTCTTGGACTGAGCTGATAGGCAGTACATGAGAGAAAAAGATGAATAACAACAGAGTAAGGGTCAACCCGCCCCCTGCCACTCACACACACAGTAATTGTATGTAAGGTGCTGGTGCTAACTGCTCTTAAATCACGAAATAAGTGAAATAGAATGTTCCACTCTTAAGAAACTTATTCAAGATAGGCATCAAGGATCAGGTAGATGAATTAAACTGAGTTCAGTTAAATATCAGCATAAAGATTCCAGTAGGCATCCTGCGAATAGAGTTGACTGCATAAGACCCTGCTAGGTGACCGAGAGGAAAGAGAGAAAGCTGTGGGCTGACGGAATGAGCAAAGGCTTCACGGATGATACGGGATTGGATGTGTGGCAGAATTCAAACGGAAGTGAGCAATGGCTGACAGCAGGAATGGCCAGGTGTGTTAGGCAGGGAAGTGCAGAAGCGCTGTGGGAGGCGGAAATGGGGCTGAGGCTGCAGAGATGGCAGGAACACGTGTCTTTGTGTAAGTCACAGGACCTGTTTCCTCATCCCCCTGAGAAGATGGAGCACACATTCCCCACCCTCCTTACGGTTCTGACCCTCTGTAATTCTGAGAGCTGACCTGAGGATAACAACTTGCTTTCAAAAGTGAGGTCACTTGGCTTGTATAACTAGAAGAATGAGAGCAGACCCAGGGAGGCTCTGTTATGGCTTGTCTACCTCCTGTCCCTCTACGTGGAAAGGCAGTTACAATGGGGTGGCTGAGACTGTGGGCTCCTCCCAGGCTGCCAGGGTTCACATTTGGCTCCTCCTCTTTCTAGCTATGCGTCAGTTTTATCCTCTGATATAAAGAGTGACAATAGTGGCACCTACCTCCAGGGTTCTTGTGTAGAAGTGCTCGGAAGAGTGTCTGGTGCATAGGGAGGACTTAATATATGCTAGTCATTAGTCCAGTCTCTGCTTGGCCGACTCCCTCAAGCTCCTACTACACTCAGGCTTCTGATACAGAGGAGAAAGTGGCAGCTGACCCCAAGCGCTGTCTTTATCAATCAGCCTTATAGCCAGGAGTCAGCCCCAGAGTCCTATCCTGGGACATATGATGAGGAGCCTGGGGTGGAACAAAATGGAGTGTTACGTATACAAAGAGTGCTCCTCTGCACACAAATCTGATCCTCACAACTGAGTCCATGGAGAAGCAAAGTACATACTCTACATTTTATGGGTGAAGCAACCAAGGTATTAAAACCTAAGAGGTTCGTGGGAAAGTGACAAAACCAGGAAGCTACCCAGGCCTGCCGCTCCACAGCCCTTTTCACTGTATATCACTAAATCTCAAAATGATTTGTTCCCATAAAATATAGAGTGTCTTTGATGTCCCCTGGAGATGTTGTCATTATGAATGACAGCTGATTCCGAGTCAATGAAACAAGTGTTTATTGAGCACCTACTGCATTCAAAGTGCCAAACCCTGTCAGGAAATCAAAGCACAGCCAAGGATGAGTGACATATGGCTCCCGCACATGCAGGATTCTTGAATGCAGTGCAGAAGGCAGCCCACCAGGCTTACTTGATACAGTGTAGCTTGGATCGATGGCTCCAAGGTTGTTTTTTAATGGGGTTTGGGGAATAGAGGAGAACTCGGATTAGATAATCAATTTTTTTTATTTTGCTAAGAATATATATTTTAAAATGCTGCTATCTACAATCACTATCATTTCATAGAAAAATAATATTTTAATTCCTAAAATAGGAAAGGCCAAAATTTCAGCATAAAGGGGGGCCCCTCTAAATTTGAATAATGAAATTGTATTACAAAATTACTACATTTTCTTTACTTTTGTCATTTTATGGAGGACAAGTGAAGCTTTTTATAAGCCAATGATTTGAGAACCAGCATCTAAATGACTTCCTAAATGTCATTCCTGTAAGATAACATATGGCCACATTTTGATATTTTTGAAATTAAAGCACAGGGAAGTATTATTGCATTGTTCCATTATCCAAGCATGACCCCAGACCACATCAGTGGCTCTAATAGGCATATTCCAATGGTCCAGGCCTCAGTGGTCAATGGCTCTTTAGGATGGGCATAGAATGATGCCACAGATGGAGCTAGGTGTAACCCAGGAGAAGTCTAGCTGTTTCCCATGGGGTCAGGTCAAAGGTGACCAGAAAAGTACCTTTGATTTAAAAAATACAATTTTTTTTGACATGGAATCTTGGTCTATTGCACTGTCTGGAGTGCAGTGGTGGGATCTTGGCTCACTGTAACCTCCACCTCTCTGGTTCAAGCAATTTTCCTGCCTTAGTCTCTCTGAGTAGCTGGGATAACAGGTGCACACCACCAGACCCAGCTAATTTTTGTATTTTTAGTAAAGATGGGGTTTCGCCATGTTGGCCAGGCTGGTCTTGAACTCCTGACCTTAGGTGATCCACCCACCTTGGTCTCTCAAAGTGCTGAGATTACTGGCGTGAGCCACTGTGCCTGGCCATAAAAAAAAAACTTTTAAAAATATTTTTTGTTTTTTTAGAGCCAGGTGCAGTGGCTCACACCTGTAATCCTAGCACTTTGGGAGGCTGAGGCAGGTGGACTGCTTGAGCCCAGGAGTTTGAATGAGCCTGGGCAACATGGTGGAACCCTGTCTCTGCAAAACAGGACAAAAATTAGCCAGGTGTGGTGGAGGGCGCTTGATCCCTGGAGGTTGAGGCTGTAGTGAGTCATGATGGCACTGCTGTACTCTAGCCTAGAGTGCAGTAGTGACAGAGCAAGACTCCCCCCCCATTCAATTCTTGAGCATCATAACAATTTAGACTGAAAAATGCTCAAGGGATAGTTGTATTATGTCGTAAGCAAAATTATTAATATAGTCTACTCAATGACTGGAAATCCAAAATTTCCCAGTGTCTCAGCATGTATTCAACTGTGCCAATCCTAATGACAAAAACCTGCCCTTTCTATACACACTGAAGGGCCCCACTGTGCAACCCTGCACAAGTATCATTTTTCCTGCATCTTGATTACAAAGTGATTTCAATATTATTTTTTTTTATTTTTAATTTTATTATTATACTTTAAGTTCTGGGGTGCATGTGTAGAACATGCAGGTTTGTTACATGTGCCATAGTGGTTTGGTGCATCCATTCCCCCATCATCTACATTAGGTATTTCTCCTAATGCTGTCCCTCCCCTCACCCCCTGCTTTCTATCTATCCCCTATCCCCCACCACCTCCCGACAGTCCCCTGTGTGTGATGTTCCCCTCCCTGTATCCATGTGTTCTCATTGTTCAACACCCACTTATGAGTGAGAACATGCAGCGTTTGGTTTTCTGTTCTTGTATCAGTTTGCTGAGAATGACAGTTTCCAGCTTTATCCATGTCCCTGCAAAGGATATGAACTCATCCTTTTTTATGGCTGCATAGGATTCCATGGTGTGTATGTGCTACATTTTCTTTATCCAGTCTATCATTGATGGGCATTTGTGTTGGTTCCAGGTCTTTGCTATTGTGAACAGTGCTGCAATAAACATATGTGTGCATGTGCCTTTATAACAGAATGATTTATAACCCTTTGGGTATATACCCAGTAATGGGATTGCTGGGTCAAATGGAATTTCTATTTCTAGATCCTTGAGGAATCACCACACTGTCTTCCACAATGGTTGAACTAATTTACACTCCCACCAACAGTGTAAAAGTGTTCCTATTTCTCCACATCCTCTCCAGCATCTGTTGTCTTCTGATTTTTTAATGATCACCATTCTGACTGGCATGAGACGGTATCTCAATGTGGTTTTGATTTGCATTTCTCTAATGACCAGTGATGATGAGCTTTTTTTCATATGTTAGTTGACTTTATAAATGTCTTCTTTTGAGAAGTGTTTGTTCATATCCTTCACCTACTTTTTGACGGGGTTGTTTTTTTCTTGTAAATTTGTTTAAGTTCTTTGTAGATTGGATATTAGCCATTTGCCAGGTGGGTAGATTGCAAAAATGTTTTCCCATTCTCTTGGTTACTGGTTTACTCTAATGATAGTTTCTTTTTGATTCTTTAAAAAAAGAGTGGCCAAAAACCATTACAGTGGTTCATGCCTGTAATCCCAGCACTTTGGGAGGCTGAGGTGGGCGGATCACAAGTTCAGGATATCAAGACAATCCTGGCCAACACGGTGAAACTCTGTCTCTATTAAAATACACAAAATTAGCCAGGCATGGTGGTGCACAGCTGTAGTCCCAGCTACTCAGGAGGCTAAGGCAGGGGAATTGCTTGAACCGGGGAGGCGGATGTTGCAGTGAGCTGAGATTGCGCCACTGAACTCCAGCCTGGCAGCAGAGCGAGACTCTATCTCAAAAACAGCAACAAAAAAGCATATTCCTCACCAGTAAGACAAGTGAATATATTTTAAAAGTTCCTGTGATATTTCAGTTTATTCCTGTAATAACCTGAATAACTGTACTAATGACACTGGAAATA